TTGTAGGAAACAATACATAAAAGAAAGTTCAACTGCAGGGTAGATAGAAATGCCCAGGAGTCCTAAAGGTTCAGTGGCGGGGTGGATGTCCGGGTCCAGAGATCCTCAAATTAAAGTTATATGTAGGTAATGATGATAGTAGCTAACATTTATACAGCACTTATTATGTGGCAGGTCTGGTGTTAAATGCTTTACAATTATCATCTTATTTGTTCCTCACAACAACTCTGGTGCTATTATTATCCCCATTTTATACATAAGGAAACTAAGGCAGACAAAAGTTGAGTGACTTGTCCAGGGTCACACAGTTAGGAAGTTTCTGAGGCTGAGTTTAGAACTGAGGTCTTCCTAATTCTAAGCCCAGCACTTTATCCACTGTACCACCTAGCTGAGTAATTAAGATGGTGCTCCATGTGGCCTACAGAACCTGGAAGGAAAGGCCTGGAGAATCTTAGGAAGCAATGGCAGGACACATGATAAGGCCTTACAGCTTTCCATCTCATTGTGTTGCTAACCACCATCTCTCCTAAGCCCTGCGTCAAGTGAAGCATCCAGGGCAAAGGGGGAAGGAAAACAGGGAGAGTCCCTTCAATGATGGTAATATTTCCCATGGCCAGGCCTTCCTGGATGGGTTCCAGTACATTTGGGGACCAGGTGAGGAAGCCAAGAAGGACAGGGCAGCTCTGTCCTGGGGCCCTTCCAGAACCCATTCAGAATGGGACTCCTTGTTAGAAGCAAGACTATGGCTATGCAACATTATTTTGACATAGGATTGTGGTCAATTCCATTGACAGCAAATCCTGCCTAAGACCTCTTCTGTTGGAAAGGAACTTGCATAATAGCTCACATTTCCTGAGTGCTAATGTTAGGATTCAAAACTATTAAAAAAAAAAGGCATTTTTTTGTTGGTGAAATGATCTGGTTTGCTGAGCAGATTCTATTTCCATTGTATGGTTATTTTCTTTGTCAACATTGCTAGCTCTTAACTACAAATGGTTTATTCAGTAGGACTGTGCTCTCAGGAGACAGAAATATTAAAATCAGTTTTCTTCTCTGTCTACTTACAGTGAATGGGTGAATAGTTGTTTACAAGGCTGGGTTATAGAATCAAGTACAGGTTATAGCTCAGAGATATTGTGGATTTGGTTCCAGACTACCACAATAAAGTGAATATCGCAATAAAACAAGTCACATGAATTTTTTTTTGTTTCCCAATACATATAAAAGTTACATTTACACTATACTATAGTCTCTTAAGTGTGCAATGGTATTATGTCTAAAAAAACAATGTATATACCTTAATTAAAAATACTTTATTGCTAAAAAATGCTAACCACCATTTCAGCCTTCAATGAGTCACATAATCTTTTTGCTGTTGAAGGGTGTTGCTTCGGAGCTGATGGCTGCTGACTAATCAGGATGGTGGTTGCTGAAGGTTGGGGTGGCTATGGCAATTTCTTTACATAAGACCACAGTGCAGTTTGCCACTTGACTCTTCCTTTCACTTGAACACATGGAAGCCATTGTAGGGTTATTAATTGACCTAATTTCAATATTGTTGTGTCTCAGGGAGCAGAGAGGCTGGAGGAGAGGGAAAGAGATGGGAAGGGTAGATTGATGGAGAAGTCAGAACACACCTTTTTTTATTAAATTCACCATCTTATTTGTGTATGGTTCATGGCTTCCCCAAACAATAATAATAGTAACATCAAAGATCACTGATCACAGATCACCATAACAGATATAATAATATAAAAAAAGAAATATTTGCAAGAATTATGAAGATGCGACACAGAGACACAATGTGAGCACATGCTGTTGGAAAAATGGCACTGATAGACTTGCTTGATGCAGGATTGCCATAAACCTTCAATTTGTAAAAAATACAATATCTGCAAAATACAATAAAAAAAAGTATGCCTGCAATAATATTCATGCTTGGGTTGTGGCTTGGTATATTAGCAAAGCTCTGAGAGTGAAGTCAGACCCAGTCTTGAATTCTGGCTCCACCATTATGACTCTGGCTATATGACCTTTGTCTAAGCTGCTTAACCTGTATGAAATGCAATTACTTAACTTGTTTGAACTGTATCTGCTGCTGGGAGGTGCAGTGGATAGAGCACTGGGCCTGGAGTCAGGAAAACCTGAGTTCAAATGTGACCTCAGATACTTACTAACTGTATGACCCTGGCAAGTCACTTTGCTTCTGTTTGTCTCAGTTTCCTCATCTATAAAATGGAGATAATAACCCCTAATTGTAAAGTGATTAGCACAGTTCCTGGCCATACTAAGTGCTATATAAATTTTTAGCTATTATCATCATTAGTAGTAGTAATAATAATATTTGCTTTACTTATTTCATAGGGTTTTTATGAAAATCAAATGAAATTATATATATATTATGTATATATGTATATACACACATATCTATATATAAACATGTGATTTTAAGTTGTTGTTATCACCAAATGTTATTACCACTGTGGTGGCCTGACACTACTTTTTAGGTGTTACATAAGGCATGTAGTTTTTGTAATAGTTGTGAAAAAAGTAGCTTCATGCTGTGCTTTCACTAAGATCAGGGGAACAAAAATTGCCCATTGCATAGTATTCTCTTCTATGAACTCTGCTCACTGTCACTGGCTGGAATGCCTTCTAAGCTAATTGCATGTTCAATGTGACCAGCTTTTTTATGTGCCACGTCCTAGACATGTACATTAAGACAGAAACAAGCCTTCTTGGCTCTAGTTGCTAATACTTCCCATCTTCTTTATGTGATAGAATCTTGATATAGGTCTATGGGCTGAATTGGAAAAGAGAATATACTTAATAGAGCAAGAGCTAGTAGCAGAACAACCTTTGCTTGAAATTGCATATTAATGTTAAAATAATTAGTGATGCTGATGTCTTAACTTGAAAATTGTGGATATTTCCATTTTTTGTGTAGGGAGAAATATACTTCTAAGTATTGGCTGCCCCTTCTTCTGCTAAACTAAATCTGTGCTCTTATGATCCTATTATTGGTAGTTCTTTTGCTAGAAATCTATACAGTTATCCCTTCCACACCATGACTTTCCCTATCCCAGTTTCGCTGTATCACGGGTCGGCATAACAAATTAAATGGGAATTTTGGAGAGTTTTGTGGAAGCTGCAGATGACAGCAAAGGCCAGCAGACAACACAGAAAAAGTTTAGAAACTCAGAAATGCATGAAATGTATGTATAGTATTGTATAATATCAACCCAAGTAGTTCTAGATTGTGAAAGTGCCATGCAATGTGGAAGGGATGAATGTACTTTTATCTAGAGCTTCCTAAAGGCAGCTAAGTGGTATGTATGGTAGATAGAGTTCTGGACTTGGAGTCTAGAAGTGCCTCAGACACTTACTAGCTGTGTGATCCAGGGCAAATCGCTTCTCTCTATGGTTCCATTTTCTCATCTGTAAAATGGGGATACAATAACAATAACTCATCTGCTAGGGTTAGTGTGAGTATAAAATGCATTACTATGTATAAAGTGCTAGCTGTTTATATTGTTGTTAATGGTATTCTGAAGCACCTAGAAATGGCCATATAATGGGATAGCTGGCCAGCAGTTAATTAATTACCTATGGTTCCTTGACCTATGGGTTTTCCTTGGATAGACAAAGGTTACTCAAATAATTCATATGGGCTCTGTGAGCCCAGGAGTGGTGGCCCTATGCCAAATTTCTAATGGGTGTACATAGATTTTAAAGAGGCAAAGACTACTTTGAAAGACTTTAAAACTGTATTATTCTGGATATTGCATTAGCTTTCACCTGCCTTCTGTTGTGACTTCTTAGAAAGCAGAGAGTTCTGGGTAAATGCCTGAAAGGGGGGCATTTGCTTTCATAGTTTAGTTATGATATAAAGTGGGCTACAAAGAAGCCCTAATCTTTCAGCAAAATTCAGGTCCTGAGTTAGAAGCTAACAGAGAAAGGAAGTTCTGCTGCTGGCTTTGGAATAATATTACCTCGCCTTGTAACAGCTGAGTGATTTAAAACAAGATTTGGTGTAAATGACTCCTCTCTGAAGAATGAAAATAATAGCTAGCATTTATGTTATTTCATTCAATCCCATGGCAAGCTTGTGAGGTGGGTGCTATGATTATCCCCATTTTACAGATGAGCAAAATAAGACTGAGAGTGATGAAGTGAGTTGCCCAGGTCACACAACTTATAAATAGCTAAGGCGAAATGCAAACTCAGGCTTTGCTGTGTGCCGCACCACCTACCTATCTTGGGTAGTTAACAGACAAGAAACTAAATGTTTGCCTGAAGAAATGAGCTCTTATTTTGGTCAGGTTTACTGAAAACTTCTGAGAGACATTAATATTACATTATTATATTAATAGCTAATTATTAATTTTTGATCCATCCTTTTTCTCCTATTTCCATTAGGACTCAATTCCTGAAAAAGTCAGGCAGGTTTAAAAGTGTTAACAGTAAGGTAATCTCCCAGTCCCAAGGCATCTACCTGAGCAGGGACCCTTACTTCTGTCTACTTTGCCAGCTTCAGCTAGATCTCCAACCCCCCCCCCCCCCCGCACGTGTCTCCTAGTCCTTGATCTCCTCCATTAGAATTTAGGCAGACCTCTAACCAGGGAGGTCTGGATGCACAGGGCTTCCCCTGTTCAGATTACTGGAGGGTGCTGAGTCTCAAGATCAAGCCACGTTCTCAGCAGGCAGAGCTGAAGACTTTTAGCCCACCCTCATTAAATATCCACCAATGAGGGTTGAGTTTCACTTGGTAGGGGAGTTCTCTGTCAGAAGGTACACATCTGATTTAAGGCATTTCTTCCTTGGGGTCTTTGGCTAATAAAAGAAACTACAGACCATCAATTTATTGATTATGAACTAATCTAATTAATACATTGATTATTAATTACCTGGAAACTGAATCTTGGGGGTTTTATTCACTACACTTCTAAGCTGAAAGTGTTCTTTTCTTCTGGGTTTACTGTTTTCATTTCATTTTTCAGGGCACATGCAGAATTGCTTTCAATGGACAAGAGGAAGAAAGTTTTGCTACTTGGAAGTGGCTATGTGTCTGAGCCACTACTAGAATACCTTTGTAGAGATGGCAGCATTGAAATGACAGTGGGTAAATAAACCTTCCCTTTCCCTTTTGGCAATTAGTTTGAGTGTGTGTGTGTGTGTGTGTGAATTCCTAGGACTTTTTAGAGAAGTTTTTTTTTTTTGAGAAGTCACAACAAACTTTATTTTTTGACTTGCTAGGAGGGGAAGAAAAAACTAATCAAAAGAAGTATCTTGAAATGTTTTGTTCCTCAAATAGGCTCAGATATGAAGAATCAGCTTGAGCATTGGGCCAAGAAATACAACATTAACCCCATTGTTTTGGACATTGGGAAGCAAGAGGAGAGACTGGCCAACATAGTAAAGAAACAGGACCTTGTGATCAGGTTAGTATACACAAAGAAAGAACCTCTGTACATCTTAATAGCTGCATTTCACTTTCTGCTCAGAGAAAGTGGATGAAAATACAGTGGAGATGGATTTGAGAATCTCAAGCCTTCAGGGTATGATAAGGGTTTTTATAATACTATAAATTGTAAATAATTATTTCTTTGTTTCTGTTGATTACTTAATAGTCTGTTTATGCTCAAAATTATAGAATGAGAAACTGAAAAGGACATTAGCCAATCAACAAGCATTTAAAATGCTCACTGTGTAGCACTGTATTTAATTTGGGGAATATGATGGAAAAGCAAAAGAACAACCCTGCCCTCAGGGAGCTTACATTCTAAAAGGGGAGACAACATGTACATAAATAGGGATATACAAGACACATATAAAGTCGAAGGAACGTCACTTTAGAGAAAGCACTAGCCACTCAAGGGATAGGGGAAGGCTTCCTGCAGAAAGTGATGTTTGAGCTGAATCTTGAAGGAAGCCAGAGGTTCTAAGAGGCAGAGGTAAGGAGAGAAAGCATATCAGATTTTATCGATAATTGAATCAGCCCCCACTTATTTTACAACCTCGGTAACTGAAGTCCCAGAAAGCTTAAGTGATTTGTTCAGATTCACATAGCCAGGTTGAGAATCTGGCTTTCTGAGTCCCCACCTAGTGTTCTTTCCAATACATCATGCTGCTTTTATGTGCATCCCTTCTAAATGGTAAGAACTGCAAAAGGCTAAATGTGCTCAGATCTTGGCTTAGAAATAAGACTTTGAGTAGAATGGAGAAATGTGAATAGCTGTCTGCCAATGTTGTTTTTTAGTCATTTTCAGACATATACAACTCTTCATGACTCCACTTGGAGTTTTCTTGGCAAAGATACTAGAGCAGTTTGTTGTTTCCTTCTCCAGCTCATTTTACAGATGAGGAAACTGAGGCAAGCAAAGTTAAATGACTTGCCTGATTTTACACAGCTAATGAGTGTCTGAGGCCAGATTTGAACTCAGTAAGGTGGGTCTTCTTAACTCCAGGTCTGGCACTCTATCCACTTGGCACCTCACTCTCCTGTCTACTAAGTGGTTGAGACTATTTGAGGATGTTGAGCATCCTTCCTCTACACAGCTGCCACACTGATACTCAATTTTCAATCTCTTCCAATGTCTCATCTTGTGTATTGAAAGTATGATTCAGCACTCTAGGTTATATATAACAATTCTAGGTCAAAATGCAAAAATCCTCATTCTAGTAGTCAAACCCTTGCAATATGTGAGTGACACCTATATTTCTAGTGTCTTATATTGCTCTCTTCCATACCCTCTCCATTCCTGTCAAACTGGACTGATGCCTGTTCCCAGCATATATCACTATAGCACCTTCGTTCATTGCTCTTCACAACTGGTTCAGCACTCTTTCTTGCCCTTGTTTCTTAGAAGTTAATAACTTCCTTCAAAGCTAACAGCGCAGGCTTCACCTCCTACATGAAGCCTTTCCTGATCCCCACCAGTTAACAGTATGCTCTCCCTTGGAAATCAATAATAATAGCTAGTATTTATACATAGCGCTCAAGGCTTGCAAAGTGCTTTACAGATATTACCGAATGAGGTAATCCTAACAACAACCCTATGAGGTAGGGGCTGTTATTCTCACTTTACAGATGAGTGAACTGAGGCTGAGAGAGGCTGAATAACTTGCCACTTGAGTAAGTATCTGAGGCAGGATTTGAACTCAGGTCTTCCCAAGCACTCTATTCACCATATCACCTAGCTGCCTAACAGCTAAATTACTTGGTATTTACTGGTCTTTGTACATATCATATCCCCCCACTATCTCCAAGAACAGTTTTGGTTTTGGTTTTGTCTCTGAATTCCCAGAAGTTAGTTTGGTACCTTGCACCTAGTAGGCATTTAATAAATGTTTCAATTATTGAGTACTAAAGGAGGGAGAAATTGCATGCTGGCCTGTGGTCATTGCCTGAAGGCAAATAAAAACTTTGCTTTGGGGCATGGTGACAACATTAGAATCACATCTTTGAAGCAAGTACTGAGGTATCTGTATTTGGTGAAAATCACATATAGAAAACTGAACTTAGAAAACTAAGTTTTTGGTAAAATGGGAGGGTGATTTTTCTTAATTCAAAAAGATTTTTTTAAAGCCTCTGCCCTCTAGTACACTTAAAATATGAATATTTGGTAAAATCTTTTTTATTCATTGCATTTCATGAATCTATGTTACATAAACAAGGTATGCCCATAGTCAGGAGGTAGGGTGTTAGTTTCTAATCAAGAAAACTGTTGCAATGTCATAATCAGGTGTTTTCCCTCCTCTTTCCACTTGAAGCCTGCTACCATATGTATTACATCCTATTGTGGCCAAAGCATGTATTGCCAGCAAAGTGAATATGGTCACTGCTAGCTACATCACACCAGCCCTCAAGGAACTGGAGCAAAGGTAAGACCCGTAAGTATTCACTAAAGTAGGCAGCCTGTGGCCCCACTGAAACATTTTCATTTTATGAACATATTTTTCATTTCCCACTTTTCCAATTCTTTTAGTGTGGATGATGCTGGCATCACAATAATTGGAGAGTTGGGATTGGATCCTGGCCTTGACCATATGTTGGCCATGGAAACAATTGACAAAGCTAAAGAAGTAGGAGCCACGGTAAGACCACTTTATATCTCCAAGATTTATTTAGGAAAATCTTAACTGATCTGGTTTCTTCCATGCAAGAAATACCCCATGTTTTTATATGACAGTGTAATGTTGGATAGATTTTATGAGCTAGATTTTCATGCAGAGTAGGCCTGGGGTAAGGATGTCTAATTGAAACTGAACTGGAGCTATCCCCAGCTTTGGAATTAGTAGACAACTAAACACTTGCATTTTTGTAGAATACAGATGAAGATGACAAATATATTGACATATATAGGAAGAGATCTCCGTGATTGATTTCATTTAGCTTTAAAGCATTTGAAGTGAAGATAGATGGGAACAAAAAGAGGTTATTTGTGTCAGTGGAGTGAATGGAGAGAAGGTGAATGGGATGTCTTTTTAGGAACCACAGTAGTACAGTAGTTAGGGCGCTGACTTAAGAGTTGTAAGACCTGGATGCTTATCCTTGTTCTGCTTGTCTAGCTTTAGGTGGACCTTGGTCAAGTCACTCTTCGACCTTTCGGGGCCTCATTTTATCTATGAAATTAGGGGAGTGGACTAGATGATCCATAAGAACACTTCTTTCCCTAATAGTCTCCAGATAGGATGGTCAGCTGATAGTTCTTAGAGTCCATCACCTTTATTAGGATGAATAATTTAGATTAATTTTTGTAGTCTATTGTTAGATTCTAAAAATAGCATCACCGTTATATATCACTTTAAGTTTTGGAAGCACTTTCTTTTCAGTAACTCTACAATATTAGTAGTGTATTATTGCCATTTTCCAAATGCGGAAGTAGGGATGAAAATCAGAAAATGATTAGCACATTGCTGCTAAGTTTCAGTCAGAACTCAAACTCAGGTCTTCTGACTTTCACCCTTCATACAACATGCTGTCTGTCCTACTTCAAAACTGGTTTCCTTAACTTCTGTGAGTTAATGCCTGTACCTCTCCGTAACAGGTAAATTTAAATGTTAACTCAGTTTTCCCTATCCACCATCGTTATCATAATAATTAGGCTTCTGAAGCTTTGTTGTTCTTGTTCAGTCATGTTTGACTGTTTGTGACCTCATGGACATAATGTCCATGGGGTTTTCTTGGCAAAGATACTAGAGTGGTTTTCCTTTTCTTTCTCCAGTGGATGAAGACAAACAGAAGTTAAGTGATTTTCCCAGGGTCACACAGCTAGGCCTAGCACTCTATCCACTGAGCCACCCAGCTGCCTCCTAGGCAAACAGGGATTGAACGACTTATCCAAGGTCACACATCTAGTAAAGTGTGTGAGGCCACATTTGAACTGAAGGCTTCCTGACTACAGGTCCAGTGCTCTATCCACTGAGCCACCTAGCTGTCCCCTGAAGCTATATCGGGGCAAAATCTTTATCTAACCCTCCTGTAGTACCGTTATATTTCCCCAATTATGGGTAAATTCACAGAATGCCTTAGATTTACAAATTAGAGAACTAGATTCATGCTGGAATATGTGATTATTAAAGTGATTCTGCTCCTGATAACACCAGGGCTGAAATAGATCAAAATTCACAAGAGTGACATGAAAAGAACCACACAGGCTTCAATTAGACATAGTCAATTGAATCCCACAAAAGCAAAAATTTCTATTAAAACATAAGGTGAAAGGGCAGCTAGGTGGCGCAGTGGATAGAGCACTGGCCCTGGAGTCAGGAAGACCTGAGTTCAAATCCAGCCTTAGACCAGACACTTGACACATATTAGTTGTGTGACCGGAGGCAAGTCACTTACCCCTAATTGCCTTAAAAAAAAAAAGTGAGAGAAGCGGTACAGTGGAAAGAATGCTGGATTTGAAACAAAGGACCTATGTTCAAATCTTGGCACTGCAACTTATGCCTTGTATGACTTTTCTGGTTAGTTTCTTCATCTATAAAATGGATAGATTAGTTTCTAAATTCCCTTCCAGCTTGCAGCCTATTCTCCTAGGATCCCAAGATGACCAAATCCCAGGCATTGAGCCATTTATAAAGAAATATACATTCCAACAATATTTCAGTGCAGTGAAATAATTCTGACATGTGTTTAGAGAGAAGTGGGCCAATGTTTGATCTATATAAGAAAAAAACGAATGTTGATGAATGTCACTAATCTCTTGGTCTGTCAAGTGCCTTCCTGTTTCTTCTCGACTAGTACTAATTATATTACTTCTGATCAGAGCTGTCAGGCAATTGCTGTATTTAAAGATGACTAATCAGTTCTCAAGATTATGATGTATTTGTAAAGATGAGATGCATTGTAGAATTTTCTAAGTTGGATTCAAAATTCAGTAAGAACTTGATTGTCAAAATAATTATTCTCTGTTCTCAAGTCCTATCTGCCCTTATAAAATGCCCTTCTTTTATCCATAACAGTGACAAGTCAAATTGAGTGTGAATTCACCCAAGGTAGGTATTTCTGATTGCAGAAGGGAGCATAAGAAGAAAGCTCAACAGTTCATTTCGTTTTGTTATAATTAGAATCGTTTTCCTTAACCTGCTGATAATATGACTTATGCAAATTCACTTACAGATTGAATCATTTGTCTCCTTTTGTGGTGGCTTGCCAGCCCCAGAGCATTCCGACAATCCTTTGAGATACAAATTCAGCTGGAGCCCAGTTGGTGTCTTAATGAACATATTGCAACCTGCTAAATATCTGCTCAATGGAGAGGTGAATCAATACTGTTAAAGAAGTCAACATATCGATTGATTGAGTTGTATTAGCCTACCTATTGGTTTCAACCCCCAGATTTTTCAATGGAAGTTTTGTCATTCATCATATTAAGGCAGTTAGGGAGGATCCTTAGTCATGAATACTGAGGAATATTCAAAGGATTAGTATACTATAGCAACCTGGGAGCAACATCCCATTATGCTGATAGAGTGGTGCATTCAGAGGAAGTAAAGATTAAATTATGGCACACTGTTTTATCTCGTGTACTACCCTCCTCCCTTTTTACCTCTTAAGCCTTAAAGAACATTTGCATTTGAATACTTAAAGGATCCATGGTTGAGTCCTTATAGATATTCCCTGCACTAACCCACCATTTTAGTGGAAGATCCCACTGAACCTTGGTAGAAAGTCTTCTTGAGTGCTCTGGCTGGAAAAAAACAAAACATGTCATCACCTAGTAGCCAACAAGTATTTGGTTATGATCCTCTCTGAATTTTGGCTATATACTTGTTATTGGGCTTGTATTCATATAAATTAAACTAAGCAATTTAGTTAACTTGGATCAAGTCAAAAGACATTTGTTAAGCACTTACTATGTAGCAGGACACTGTACTAAGTACTGGGAATATAAAGGCAGCAACAGCCTATACCCTAACGGGGAAGACGACCTTCAAACAACTTTGTATCTGTAACATATATTAAGGGTAAACGGATGGCAATCTCAGAGCAAAGACACTAGCATTGAGGGGGGAATGGAAAAGGTGACTTGCAGAAGGTAGGATTTGAACTAAGACTTAAAGGAAGGCACAGAAGCCAAGAGGTAGAGAGAAGGAGAAAGAACATTCCAGGCATGGGAGACAACCAGTGAAAAGGCCTAGCTGGCAGAGATGGAATGTTCCATCCAAGGGACAGTATCTCTGGAGCATAGAGTGCCTACTCTGTTCTGTACTGGGGGTGAGAGAGTGGAGGATACAGAAGTGTATGACTTTGTTTCCATTTTCCAGGATTTTACAGTTTTGTTGGGGGTGGAGAAGATACTCATGCATATGGAACTGCCTTGCATGTAGTAGGTTTTCATTAAATATTTGTCAGGGCTGATGATTGATTCTGGCATTTTGAAAATGTAGGGGACAATTTAAATGTCTGACAATTGGGGAAATGACTAAATGCTTGGTGATCATGTCTATATCATGAACTACTAGAATGGTAGTTAAGAAGGACAAATGTGAGATATATATATAAAAATCAACAAGTTAATTAAACATGTAATGTTTATAAGGCATATATGTTTATATATGTTTATATGTTTATAAAGCATAAATGCTAGGGTTATAATGATAAAAACAATCCATACCCTGAAGGAATTTATAATCTAATGGAAAGATATGAAATAATATGAAGTGAAAAAAGCAGAATTAGAAATTCAACATACACATTGACTATGATTATACAAGGAGACAATAGTATAGGCACATACAAGTGGCTAGATAAACAAAGAGAATGGAAAGGATCCCAGAGGGAGTGACTGACAAACTCTGTACATTGAAATCTGCCTATAATTTAATTAATTTTATTTGAAATATTAATTGGTTTTGTGGTTGAAAATTGTTCACAATCAATTACTTTGGAAATGAATTACAATCAATTGCTTTAGTTATTGTTTAAAATTAAAGTAACAATTAATTTCAATGGAAAGAGCACTGGATTTGGAAATAGGAGACTGGAGTCCTAATTCCATTTCCACCGTTTACTATCTCAGTGGTTTGGGGCATGTTATCTGGACTTTATTTTCCTCATCTAGAAAGTGAGGACCACTTAATGTCCCTTCGAGTCCTCGATTTATGGTCCTATCATAATTTAGTTGTAAAACCCAACTATCCAGTGGGTTTTAGAATGACTACTATCTATGTTCCTAAGAGAAGGGAGAAGTGATGGCAGCACCCTGGTAAAAGAAGTAGTGTGTTATAATGGAAAAAGCTTTTAATTGGAGCCTGGAGAATCCTGAGTTCGAATTCTAGTTCGGACACTTGTTAGTTGTATGACCTTTGGCAAATCTTTTAACATCTGCTAGCCTTTGTTTCTTCATTTATAAAATGGAGACCATTATTGCAATATCTAGATCTCAGGGTTGTTGTGAGCGCTTTGTAAAACTTAAAACCTGTTACAAGTAATGTGTTTTGATTAATAAACAATGTGACAAGGGGCAGCTAGGTGGCGCAGTGGATAGAGCACTGGCCCTGAAGTCAGGAGGACCTGAGTTCAAATCCGGCCTCAGACCAAACACTGGTCACCACAAGTCACTTAACCCCAATTGCCTAACAAAAAAAAAAAAAAAAAAAGTGACACCAGTATAGCTTGTGAAATTTGGTAAGTTTATAAATGTTGTTTTTTCTGATTGTTCTTTTTTTTAAATTTTCATCAGGTGATTGAAGCTGGGGGGGCATCTTTTCTTGATTATGTTACCGCCAAGGATTATTTCCCAGGATTAAATTTGGAAGGTTACCCCAATAGAGATAGTACAAAATATGCTGAGATATATGATATTCAGTCTGCTCATACTTTGTTGCGAGGGACTCTGCGATATAAGGTAAGCATGATGATTTAGTCATCAAAGATGTCTACCTGTTGCAGACTGTATACATTTTACTGCTGGTGATGAATTCATGTATTTTATCTACATACAATGTAGTGGGTTGAGTGTCAGCCTGGAAGCCAGGAAGTCCTGGGTCCAAGTCCTCAGGCATATACTGGCTGTAACCTTGGCCAAGTCTTAAACTCTTAGTTCTCCAAACCACTCTAAAAAAATAAGACATTAGGAAGGTGCCAATCTACTTTGGTAGAAGGAGTTTCCTTATGTGGGAGTTCCTTAAGATAAGTCTTCCTGACTCCAGGCTTGGCACTGCATCCACTCTACCACCTTTTTTCTTTAATAGGAGAATCCTAAAGTTTGGTTGCAATAACCCTTTTAAAAGGCCAGCTAGGTAATTCATTGAATAGATGCCAGGCCTGAAATCAGGAAGACCTTCTCTTTTTGAGTTCAAATCTGATCTCAGGCACTAGCTGTGTGACCCTCGACAAGTCACTTAACCATGTTTCACTCAGCTTCCTTATCTGTAAAATAAACTGGAAAAGGAAATGGCAGACCACTCTAGCATCTTTGCTACAAACACCCAAACGAGGTCACAAAGATTCACACACGACAACAAACTCTTTTTAAGGGTTATTAAAATATAAAAACTTTTTACTTGGGGAAAAATTGACATTTATAAGTGGTAAAGAAACTGTCTGCCAGCATTCTTAGTGTTGTATAGCTCTCAACCAGCTGAGTAAGTTACTCATTGATTTAGGGTTTTTTGGCTGATGCTTCTCACCATTTGTAGATGAAGCAAAGTTGACTGTCCCTTTGAATGTTATTTTTCTGAAGGGATAGCATGGAACTTGTCCCTCAATATACTTTGAATCTTTGATCTTCTTGTGATGAGCACACAAAGCATAAGTATAGGCTGCATCTCTTTGACATTTCCTCATCTCTTCGTAGTTCCTGTTCAAGTCTTTCTACTAATCCTGCATAGAATATCCACAGAGTATGCTAGAGGCCTTTCTTTGGTTCTAGTAGAAATGTAAATCCCTTGAAGGCATAGTCTGATAAGTTTTTAATTCTGTATTCCCAACAACAAGCATAGTGCTTTGCACACATTAAGAGATTACTAAATGTTTGTGAATTTCATTGCATTGTATTTTAATATTTAATGGATAAGAATGCAACACTTAGGTATCCATTTGCTATCCCTACTCTCATTTGCTGACTAACCTGCTTCCTTTTTTTGGTCACAATCTCCTTGATGATGTCTTTTATTTTTTCTATTTTTTAGTTAATAAATATTTATTTTCTTTCCCTTCTACTTCCTCCATTGGAAAAAAAAAGAAAAAAAAAAGCCCTTGTAAAAATATTCATAGCTCAACAAAATGCATTCCTGTGGTGGCCCTCTCCAAAAACGCATGTCTCCTGTGATTTGTGTGCCTCACCTCTCTGTCAGGGTTATATGCTTCACATTCTGTCGTTTATCCCATGCATGTCATTTATTTCATTTTCCAAGCATATTAATACCAGGCTACAGTTTTTTTACCCCTACTATCCATCTTTCAGTGTGTAACACAGACTGGATAATTTCACTTCTGTGCAAATGATCCATTCCTACCCCTCTTTCTCCCTCCCTGTATCTTCCCTGCCACCATGCTCAGAGACAAAAAAACAAGGACAGCCTCCTTGAGACCTCTTACAAAAATCAACATTTTATCTGTAATACAAGAACATGGTCTTTCTTTCATGCGGGCTGGGTTAGGATCTGGCTTCATAAATACCAACTCTGAGGTAACAAAAGTGACTGTTTTCAAACTGGTTCAATTTGGAAGACATTCTGTTAAGCACCTACTATAAACAAAACAACACAAGGAACAATGTTAGCAAAGATAAACATTAAATAGCCAAGATCTCAAAGAACTTAATCTTTCACTGGGCAGAGGGAAGGGGAGACAAGGTGCATACCTGGGGTTCTTAAGCCTTTTCTCTTTCACGGACCCCTTTGGCCATCAGCTCACAGACCCCTTCTAAGAATAACGTTTTTAAACACATAAAATAAAATTCATAGAGTTACGATGGAAACCAATTACATTGAAATACAGTTACAAAATATATATATTTTTTAAAGTTCACAGATATTGGTTAAGAACTCCTAGCAAACACAAATACAAGATAATTTCAGGAAGGAAAGAAGTAATCAGGGAACACCTCTCAGATGAGGTGACACATGAGCTTGGAACGCTTCACAATCTTGCTCCAGTCTGCATTTCCAGATTTATTTTAAGGGGCAAAAGGAAAGGAACAAGCATTTAGATGGTACCTTCTATGTGCCAAATGGATAACAACCACCCTGTGAGATAGGTGCTGTTATTATCCCCATTTTATAGTTGAGGAAACTAAAGCAAACAGAAGGTAAGTGACTTGCCCCCTGAGTCACACAGCTAGTTTCCAAGGCTGCATTTGAACTCGTCTTCCTGACTGCAAGCCCATTGCTCTATCTGGGGTGTCATTTAGCGGCCCCTTTCATTCATTTTGTATACCTACCAAACTGACTTGAGTGCTATTTCTCAAACCTGGCATTACATCTCCTATCTCTGTCTATACTGTTCTATATGCCTGGAATTTACTCCTTCCTTACTACTACTTAAAATTCCTAGCTTTCTGGGTTTCAGTTTAGGTTCTCTGACCTATTAATAAGTGGGGAAAAATTATTAAGCATTTACTATGTACCAAGTAGATTTAAACAGAAAAATTGGGACAATCCCTGCCCTCAAGGAGCTTATATTCGAATTGGTAGAGACAACACATAGAAGAAAGTTCAGCTGCAGGCAGATGGAAAGGGCTGGAGGTCCTAAGGGTGCATGTGAGTGGCAAGGCCCAGATTGGGTCCTTAGCTAGTTAATATGCCACTGCATGGGGACACCAGGGCAGACAGGCAGGGCAGATGGCAAGGTCTGGTGGCCTTTCATTTCATCAGAAGGAATGGAGTTTTTGAATCCTATCTCAAAGCTGCTGAGGCAAAAGGGGGAAAGAAAGAGAGGGGAAGACACCCTCAGTGGCAGTGGCTCTTTCCACCACAAGGTCATTGAATTGACCAGAGGAGCACTCAGAGGTATAGGGTACCCCCAGGCATTGTGGTTCTTTCCACTACCCAACTGTCCTGCATGGGCAGCCTTTCCTGGTTTTGCTCTATATTAGTTCTGTCTCTCTCCTCCAATTATGTTTGTACTTACCTGTGTAAATGTTACTTCTCTGCCCCACCCACCCCCAACTCCTGCCCCAAGTAGAAAGTAAGCTTCTTGAGGTCAGGGACTACACTTTTGTTTTGTCTCTGTATATCCAGCGCCCACCTGTGTCAAGGTCTTGCACATAAGAGATGCTTGTTCTTATTGATGAATGAAAATAAACATTCTAAGAAACTGGGAATGGGAGAGAGTACATTCTTGAAATGGGAGACTTGTGCATGTACAAGGAGGTTGGAGACCGGACACTGAGATTCATTCAGGAGATGGAGTGTCGATTTTTTACATTTGTCAAGTTTAGTGGGAATGATGGCAATCTCTTTAAATAATGCTTTCCTTTTCTTTGAAAGGAGAAGCATATCATTCTTTACTCACTCTCTTTTGTTTTAGGGATTTGCCAAAGCTTTGGATGGATTTGTAAAACTGGGCCTAATGAATAGAGATGTACACCCTCTCCTTAGTCCTGAGGCCTCTCCTATCACCTGGGTAAGTATCTGACAAGTTGTGTGTAGGTTTACTGGCTAGATTTCTTTCTCAAAGACCAAGCCTTAAACCCAATTTACTCTGGGACTCATAGACTGGACAACAATAGGTTCCTGCCCAAGCACCACTTCATGATTATTTTTTGGGCCTTCCTTGCTCAGAGTGAATGGAAATAATAACTGCTTATCTTTTGGCCAGCAACCCTGAGTCCCCTCCCAGTTTGATTTTTTTTTTTTTTAATTAAAGGGGCTATGTCTTGACTCACTTCTTAAAGAAGCCTATTGGCTAAATGGGCATTACCTCACTCACAGTGAAAACCTGAAAAGACCTTAGCTTTAAAGGGCCAGGGTCTCCCACTGCATCCTTGGCCATCTCCAATCGTCCTGATGAATATCTAGCCACTGGACCTAGATGGCTTGGAGGAGAAAGTGAGGCTGGTGACCTTGCACAGCCCTCCCTCCTCAAATCAAAGTCAATTGCAAGTCATGTCATCATCTCCCTGATGTCATGGCCCTCTTGAGAATGAAGGACAAACACAACAACAATAACAAGTCTACAACTGGCAGGTCACACTTCTTATGGTCAACAAATTTTTGTCTTTCCTTTGTGTTGATGGTGAAATCAAAACTGAAGTCAAATTGGGGTTTGGGGGTGGACAATGCTTCCAAAAAATTTTAGAAAAAAGTGCAAAACTAACCTTGAATACTTAGTGTGGATAGCAGATTTTCTAACTCCTTTGACATCATGGGAAGATGCTCGTTAGTCCTAGTTTGTAAATTCTAATGTGTCACGTTGCTCCTAACATGGTTCCTATGGTAACCACCTCTCAGTTCTTATGTCTTTCTGGAAGAGATGCATGGAACCTCATATAACTGGAAGCAAATCTTTTCTAGGAGCTTCAGTGATATATTTGCAAAGCTAAATCCTTTACACAGTTATTGGGTGATCATGGAACCAATGACATTGGAGTTCAGTTTCACGATCTTGGTCTGCAGAAATGATGTATATTTTGGGGATTAAAGTGAGACCAGGGGTTTAGGAAGCATTTTCTTTCTCCTTGACTCCCTTTTCCATTTTCCCATCAAATTGGTTGGGCCCATGGACACAGCATAAGAAAGCATTTGATGAAACATGCTTCCTGAAAAATGGACAGTAGTATGTCCCAAGGTCACCATTTCTCTTATTGTGGCCTATTAAATTCCCAAAGTGAAACTTTTATAACCTAGTCTGGTTGTAGTCTCAAATGACGTAGCCAGTTCCTCTGAGATTCAGTTTTTGTTGTGTTTGCAATCCTTTCATGTCTAGGTTTTCTTTTTCCTTCTTTTCTTTCAAAAAGTAATGCCTTTGATTTGCATAACATTCATTTTTTAAAATAGTTCTCCCTACTCACTGGATTTTATTCTTTAAAATTTAAACATCAGACAGAAAAGAATTATATAAAGCAGTTTTTGTTATTTGTTATTATATAGCTGTAGAATATGACAACTGGAAAAATATTAAGATATCATCTAGGCCGTAATTTTCTAGATAAGGAAACTGAGTCCTAGAGAAGGTAAGTGACTCACTCAATGCCTGATTAATTTCAAAGCAAGCTATTGGATTTCTGGTGCCTTTTCACCAAATTCCTCTCTTCACTTTTCCATAGCTGTCTTCTGTGTGTGTGTGTGTGTGTGTGTGTGTGTGTGTGTGTGTATGTGTGAGTTTTTGTGGGGCAAATAAGCAACTTTCAGTTCATAGGCAGTTGCAGCCTAGGGGAACAGCTTCTTAGCTGTTAAGTTTGGTAAGTGGTTGAAGAGCTACGAACATTACTTGTTCTTTTTAATCTTTTACAATTTTTCATGATATCACCTTCATTTCCAAATATCTCTCTCTCTACTGAACAAGTTAGCTAAGCCATCGCTTGTAAAAAACAATTTGAAAAGGGGGAAGAAAAAGTAATTCAGCAAAATGAACTAATACATTGTTTGTGTCCATATGCAGTGTATAAAAATACCTTTACTCTCCCAGCTCTGCAGAGAGGGGAGAGAGGTGCATTTTCACAGCTGGGCCAATGTTAGTCATTATATTAAGCATTCACTTTTGCTTTTTTAATTTTTTATGGGCAGTCTGTAGTTATTGTGTATATTGTTTTCTTGGTTTTGCTTACCGTGAACAACGTTTTATAACCTTTATTCTAAATTTAATCAACAGGGTTATTTCTATTTTTTCTTATTAATTTAAAAAAAATTTTGAACTTAAACATCAAAGGAAGAACGTTTCTATATGTACAGAACATAAAAGAGAATTCTAAATGAAACCATGCTCGTACTGCTAGATTTTGAAAAATAATATAATAAATTCTACTCCTTACTTTCAAAACTCTCACTTATCTGTGCTTCCTTCGGAATTTCTTTCTGTTCTATTCTGAGCATTAAAAAAAAAAAAGTATTGCCGTATACCTTTTTGGTCATGATTATTGCCTATCTTCCCCTTTCCAGTTCCCCTTCCCTCACTTAAAACCAAGAGAAAAGAAGTTAAAAGAAAAAAACACTTAGTAACAAATATGTACACTAAGTAAAATGAATTCATAGAGTGGCCACGTCCAAAAATATGTCTCTTTCTGCAACTTGAGTTTATCACCTTTATGTCTAGAGAAGGGTAACATGCTTTATCATAGATCCTTTTGGTCATTGCATTATTCAGAGTTAAGTCTTTTTTTAAAAATTCTTTTAATTTTTTCCAATTCCAAATTCTCTCCCTCCCTCCAGACCCTCTCCTACCCATTGAGAAAGCAAGCAATATAATATCCATTAAACATATGAAGTCATGCAAAACGTATTTCCATATTAGCCATGGAGTTCTTAAGTCTTCCAAAGTTATTTTTATTTTACAATGTTGTTGTCCTTTTACAAATTGTTCTTCTGGTTCTGTTCACTTTAGTCTAGGTCAGTTCTACAAGAGATTCTCTGAAATTGTCTATCATAATTTCTGATGGCACAATAATATTCCATTACATTTATATGTCACAATTTATTCAGTCATTCCTCAAGTTGTCTAAGAGGCAATTTAAGGTATCCTTTAGATTATAATTCTTTTCTTTTCTTTTCTGTGTCCCCCTTTTAATACCACTTTCATGAGCAGAAAGTTTGTTTTGCTCATATATTCCTACCTTTTCAACAAGACTGGGCATTTTCAACAAGGCTGGCCTTTGCTGCTGGCCACTATAGCAGCTACTGTCTCTGCTCAAAATGGAGGTAGTCTGGGAAGGATTTTGTGGAAGTGGGAAAATATTTGAGGTGAAAGAGCTATAGCTTTGGAACCAGAAGACCTGGGTTCTAGTTCTGATGCTGTCCCTTTTTAGCCATGTGACCCTGGGTAAATCATCTAAATTTTCAGGATCTCTGCTTCATCATCTGGATAAGGGAGATAATAACAATTACCCTACCTACTTCAAAGGAGTATGGTGAAGAATAAATAACATATTTATTGTATGTAACATGTTTTATTAATGGTAAAGTGCTATATAAAATACATGATTATACAGTAATATACTAATTAAATTCTTCTGTAATATATGGTTTAATGTTATAGTTCATTATTTTGTTGTTGAAATACATCTTGACAGTATAGTTCATGGTGTTTTTCCTTCATAAGTTACTTTTTTAAAAACAAAAGAAACACTAATCATTTTATACTTCATACAGATTTTAAGAATTGCATGTTTTTCATATATAAATACTTAAGACTTTTTCAAGTGTGACAGAAGTGCTTGGAATCATTATTCATTGCACTTTTCTAAACTTAAACATTAACTTAGGATTTATACGCTTATTTTTGTGATCAGAAAAAGCTGTTCTGTGAATTAGTTGGGATTTCACCTTCTTCCCCTTATGATGTGCTGAAGGAAGCCATCTACAAGAAACTGGATGGGGATGACACGCAACTGGAGGCAGTGGAATGGTAGGCAGCTTTCTATGCTCTCTCCTGATGCTGGCATTCTTTAGCATGTTCCATTAAAAAAAAAAGTTAGCGTAGAATTTGAGACATTTATTTTCCCTTTGGATTTGCTGTTCCACGTTAGGATGTTTCCCTTGGTCCACCAGGTTTTGTCTCATGATAAATTTGGAGCAAAAAGCAAAAGAAGAGAAATTCATGTATTATAATGCCATTTGGGTTATCAGAATCCCTTTCCTACGTAGTTCCTGAACAATGCCAGCTGAATTCATTTTCAGTTCGATTTATTTCCTTAAATATTTGTTGGTGGCAGATTATGTTCAAGGCCCTGTGCCAGCTTCTCTGTATTGACTCTCTTTAGAGTTTATTGGCATATATCTTAGTTAAAAATCTGGGACAGCACAACTTAGCAGCTGTGTTTAACATGAGCCATCTAAATTCTTAAGATGTCCGTAAGTGGATATTGGATTCAATTACATCAAAGTTTTCTTCCAGCCCTAAATCCTATGATTCTACAAATCCCCAAACAATGCACACTTAGCATTCCTTACTTGTATTCAAGGAGGTACCGAGTAGGCAAATTCTGTTTTAAAGAAAATTATTTCTCCATTCTGGCAAAGGGTTTTTTAAAGCAGTGTCATCCTCTGACTTTTACCACTCAACATAAAAATCAACTAATCTAATCTGACGATCTGTAGTTTGGGTGGAATTGAGAGGTGATATGACATTGTGGATAAAGCACTACACTTGGAAATCAGAAAGACATGGGATTGCATCCAGCTTCTGACATTTACTAGCTTGTGACCTTCAGGAAATCATTTTACTTGACGTTTTTTTTTGCTTCAGATTCCTTATTGATAAAATGAGGTAATAACATCTTCTTCATAGGGTCATTGTAAAGTTCAAAGGAAATAATTTATGTAAATCACTTTGTAAACCTTAAAGCATTCTATTTCTTCAATCCAAACCTATGATTTAATTGGTGGGGGAATTCCCTCTACCAAATGAAGATTGGCAACCATACTAAAAGTTATGGTCTCAGAGAGTTCCCTGGAACGCCACGAGGTTAAGTGACTTGCCCAGGGTCACACAACCACTATGCATCATTTGTTGTTTAGTCATTTTCAGTCATATCTGACTCTTTGTGACCCTATCTGCGATTTTCTTGGCAAAGGTACTGGAATGGTTTTCCATTTCCTTCTCCAGCTCATTTTATAGATGAGGAAACTGAGGCAAACAGGGTCAAGTGACTTGTCCAGGGTCACATAGCTAGCAAGTGTTTGAGGTCAAAGATGAACTCAAGTTTTCCTGACTCCAGACTGGGCACTCTATCCACCATGCCATTTAGCATCCCACTATATGTCATGGGAGACACTTAAACCCAGGTATTACTGACTCCAAGACTGGTTCTGTCCACCAAATGATGTTGCCTCTCAAAGAACTATTTAAGTATCTGTTGCTATTGTTATTGGAGGCATCTTACTAGATGATCTACTTTAGGAAACGAACTAAAGCAGCGTTCTTTGTTTTTGCACAGGTTTGGTTTACTTGGAGATGAAAAGGTCCCTAAAGCAGGGTCCCTCCTGGATGCCTTCTCTAAACATTTAGAGATGAAACTTTCCTATGGTATGAAATATCATGTTTCCTAAATATTTGTAAATGTAGGGCCTAGTAGTCAATCAATAAACATTTATTAAACACCTGCTACCTGCCAGGCATTGTGCTAAGTTTTAGGGATGAAAAAAGAGGCAAAAGACAGTCCCTTGCCCTCAAGGAGCTCACAATCTAATGAGGGAAGCAAACAAATAAGTACAAAGAAGCTATTTATAGGATAAACAGGAAATAATTAAGAAGGGAAAGGCATGAAAATTAAGAGGGATTGGGAAAGACTTCCTGTAGAAGATGGGATTTTAGATGAGATTTGAAGGAAGCCTGGGAAATCGGGAAGCAGAGATGAGGAAAGAGAACATTCCAGGCATGGGGGACAGCCAGAGAAAATGCCCAGAGGCGAGAGATGGAGTTTATTGTTTGTGGAATAGCAAGGGAGCCATTGTCACTGGATTGAAGTGTATGTGGTGGAGAGTAAGGTGTAAGAAGCCTGGAAAGTGGAGGGGAGGACCTAGGTGAAGAAGGGCTTTGAATGCCAAATACAGGATTTTGAATTTTTTTTCCTAGAGGCAGTAGGGAGCCACTAAAATTTATGCAGTAAGGGAATGACATGGTTGGAACAGTACTTTAGGAAAATCACTTTAGCAGGTAAATGGAGGATGAATTGCAGGTGAGGACACTTGAGGAAGGCAGACCCACTAGCAAGCAGGTTATTTCAGTAGTCCCAAGCATGGGTGATGAGGGCCTGCATCAGGGTGGTGGCAGTATCAGAAAAGAGAAGGGGGCATATTCAAGAGATGTTGCAAAGGTGAAATCAACAGGTCGTGGTAAAAGATTGGATATGGGGATGGGGTGAAAGATAGTGAAGAGTTGAGGATAGCATCTAGGTTGTGAGCCTGAGGGACTGGGAGGATGGTATTGCCCTTGACAGTTATAAGAAAGTTAGGAGGAGGAGGAGGAGGAGGAGGAGGAGGAGGAGGAAGGTTTAGGGGGAAAGATAATGAGTTCACTTTTGGACATGTTGAGTTTAAGAAGTTTACTGGACATCTAGTTCAAGATGTCTGAAAGACAGTTGGAGACGTGAGACTGGAGGTCAGCAGAGAGATTGGGACAGAATTAGTAGATTTGAGAATTATCAGCATAGAAATGATAAAGAAATCCATGGGAGCTGATGAGATCACCAAGTGAAGAAGTATAGAGGGAAAAGAGAAGAGGACTCAGGACAGAGCCCTGTGGGATACTTATGGTTAGACAGGTGTTATTTGGATGAAGACCCAGCAAAGGAGACTGAGAAGGAGCAATCTGGTTCATAGGAGAAGAACCAGGAGAAAGCACTGTTCTGAAAACCAATAGAGAAGAAAGGATGATCAACAGTGTCAAAGGCTACAGAGAGGTCAAGAAGAATGAGAACTGAGAAAAGGCCATTGAATTTGACAGTTAAGAGAACATTGATAATTTTGGAGAAAGCAGTTTCAGTGGAATGTTGAGATTGGATGTTGGACTGTAAGGGGTTAAGAAGTTAGTAAGAAGAGAGAAAGGAGAAATACAGTTATCCTTTCCTTCGACATCATGAGGGTTGAGGGTGCAGTGCCTCTAAGAACTGAAAAATCCACGTAAAATTCTTTGGCCTTCCTTTTCTACCAAACAAGAAATCTGATATTTTTTTCTTTTATGTGGTGTTTACAGTACCTTATTTTAAAATTTGGGTTAAGTATTTGCTCATAGGCTCTGTGTCATCTGCTGGCCTTTGCATGTTGGCAAAAGTCCCCCAAAATTCCCATTTTTAATTTCTTATACTGACCTGTGATATATCAAAACTGCGATGGGGAAAGTTGGGATATGGAACTGATAACTGTACCTCTTTGTAGAAAGCCTTTTCAGAGAGTTTAGCCACAAAGGGCAGAGGATATATATATATATATATACATATATTTATATAGGACAATAGTGGGGATGGATGGGTATTTGTCAGAGGTATTGTAGGGGAGATTATTGCCTTGGGTAAGACTTTCTTAAAAGAGTTTCACTGACTGAAATTTCCATTCATTCAGCAATGACAAGTATTTATTAGACTCCTGTTAAATGTCAGCCATTATGCTAAGTGCTGAGAGTGAAAAATTAAAAATGAAACATTCCATATCCTTAAGCTTAAATACTAATGAGGTAGAGAGAAATACAATATGTACACAGATACATAAATATGAAGCAAATATAAAGTAAATACAAGTAATTTTGTGGTTGGGGATAAGAACTTAAAACTGAGAAGATCATGAATTGAACACACATGTTAGGGAGACTCTCAAAAGGATATGTGACGAATGCCTATTTGAATCTGTGGCCATGCTGTTCTGACATTGAATTGATTGTCTCCTCTGGATAAAATCAAATGGGTGGAAGATGAGTTTTCAGTTCAGAGAGTTTTCACTTCCTTAATGGGCTAAAAGAGCAATACTTTTATAATTTAATAATTTATAATTTATATTTTTATAATTTTATAATATTTGTTGAGGTAAGAAGAGAAGGAAAGCCAAAGGGGCAAAAGACAAATTGTCCACTGAACCCTTTAGAAAAATGCCAAAGTTAAGTTGTGAAATGAAAGATATAGAAGATTTAAATGGGGTTTTCTTTTGCTTTTAAGGTCCTGGAGAAAGAGATATGATTGTAATGAGAGACAGTTTTGGAATACGGCATCCTTCTGGTCATTTAGAACACAAAACTGTTGATCTTGTGGTATATGGTGAGGTCGATGGATTTTCAGCCATGGCCAAGACTGTCGGTTTGCCAGCAGCCATGGCCTCTAAGATGATCCTGAATGGTAAGCAGTATTCATTGTATGCTTGAATCAGATGTGACATACCTCTTTTCTTTTTCTTTTCTTTTTTTCAATTACCTTCTGCTACTCATTTGCTGGGCTCCTGTCCATTATTTACCAAGTAAAACACCAAAGTTACACATTCAAATCATTGAGGAGTTTCAGAGGAACCAAGAATTATACACTGTTAGATAATTTTTGTAGTAATTACCTGCTTTATCAACTCAGTGTTAGTGATTAAAAAACCGTAGCAGTAGACATTAATATTTCCTTTCCTTTCATCATATTGGTTAGTTTTGCTGAACTGTTCCCCTCCCTTTTATTCTTTGTTATAATGCATATTTTCATTTGTTTTGATTTTAGAGGGGAGAGGAGAGAATATGGTAGGTGGTGTAAAAACAAAAGATATCAATAAAAATATTTTTAAAAGCCAAAAGATTTCATTCCCTTTTCACCCTACCCCATACAAGATCATTCAATTAGTTAAGCAATCATGAATCGAATATCTACTATAAAACAATAACTGACTTATATAATGCTTTAACATTTACAAAATATTTTCTTTATGACCTACCTGTAGCTTAGGTAGTTTATTGTTTATTTGGGTTTTTTTTATAGATAAGAAAACTGAGCTTTCAAAAGTTTGAGTTATTTGCCTGTTGATATATAACTAGGTAATATCAGAACAGAACACAGGTTTTCTGATTCTATGTTCTGCATTCATCCCACTACACCATATACTATGTAAATTCTCTAGATGGATACCTAAGAAATTGAGGATATGTTCCTCATCTCCCCATAAGGTCTTCAAATGTCAAACTCTAGAGGGAAGCAAGTATCAGCAAGTACTTTACAGGGTCATGCTAATTGTGTAGGTGACTGCTTATTGAATTTGGTAAAGAAGTAATCAGGAATAGCATCACCAAAGAAGTGTTTATTAAGCTTAACTAAAATAAAGTAAAATTGATTATTTTTCCTCCCAGCTATCTCAGTAGATGATCATTTAATGATGTATGGAGTCACTGAAGGGCATTCTCAAAGGGGCCAAAATAACCAGACTGACTATGTCATTAGCACAGGGCCTAACACATAGTAGGTGCTTAATAAAAATGCTTGTTTCCTTCCCTCCCTTGTTCCCTTTTCTGTATGGATCATCTTAAGGAGCAATTTTGATTGATGAGAGAGTGAGTTATCCTGTCAGTTGCTGACTGTTTAACCTACGACTGCTCTGACCAGTCACATGGATAGGTCTAGCCAAAGTTCCTATTGCCTCAAATCAGTCACCTGAAAGTCCCAGTATTTAGTTTGCCACTGTGGAATTTACTGGGCAATACCGAAACAACTCTTTAATTATCAGGCATTCAATAGTTCATCAACTTTGAATTTTAGCAGAAGAGTGCTTTCTTTATATAGGTTCTTCCCTTTGTTCCCCAAAATATTAATTAAACATTTATTTTTTTTCTTTCAGATGAAATTAAGGCAAAAGGCTTGATTGGGCCCTTTACAAAGGAGATCTATGGACCAATATTGAAGCGTATTAAAGAAGAAGGCATTATATGCACAACTCAAAGCACCATTAAGCAGTGATTGGGAATAACCATGTAATTATAGCTATCGACAACAAAACTAGCCAAAGAGTCCCAAACTTTTGTGCCATAACCATGCTTCCCAATGTACTGGTATAATGCACAATGACATATTTTTGAGTGAAATGAATAATATTTATGAAAATGTAATTCTATTTTTCATAATAATTCTTTGGTACATGAGATTCCACTAATTGAAAAAGAATTTAATTTTTTAACCACATATTTCTTCCTGTGTGTATATAAAAGTGAAGATAAACAGGTTCTTCATTATTTATTGTTTATTTTTGCTTCATATCTTAGGAATTCATTTCTCTAAGTTTATGAGCATAGATTCTTTCAGTGGAATTTTTAGCCAGAAAATTTTTCCTGTTTGCAACCATATTTTTATATTTTTTTCAAGTCAGCAGAGTTGGTTTTAGATTGCTTTATCTGAACCTATCTATGAAACTTTTAGATAATGACATTTTATTTTCCTTTTAAAACTTTATATTCTCAGTATAAGCATCCCCTATTGTGGTGTAGGTAAGGAGACAGAGCCAGAGGAAGGTCAGGGGATTTCTCAAAGTCAAGCAACTGTTTAGTGGCAGAGCCATACTGGAATTCATGTCTCATGGCTTCTAGTCCCTACTCTTTCCTTTCCTCCATTATGCCTGACCCTGGAATGTTTCATTATGGCCAATTCTTTGCTCAGTATAATTTATAATGCAACTATTAATGTTTAGATTTTATTAATTAGCCACAATACAGTAAAGATGCAGTAAAGAGGGCATTCTAAGATGCACAATTTCAACCATCCAAGAAAATGAAGTTCTTATTTTGTGGCTTTCCATCTCCCTTTCCTTCTCAGTGCTTGCTATGATGGGGCATTCTATTTTAATTCCTATCAACACACTTTTTCCTTCTCTTAATGCTGTGCATTAATTTTAAAAGGAGGCTTTTATCAGGCTTATTTTGATGGAGTGTGTGTAATTGGTTGCCAACTGGTTGAGAGGTGTAACTTTCTTTACATTTTTATCCTGTGGTGGAAGATTTCTTGGACCTCTTGTGGGAGTACATTTGTCATCAAAAAGATTAGCACCTAAGGTTGCTTGGATGGAAAGCCAAAGATAAATATGGAGAAATAAATTAAATGCAAAATGAATGAAGAAAGAATGATTTGTTTAATAGACCTGTTTCTTATTTACATACTTAGATGGCCTGGATTCAACTTTTACATCACTCATTTTAATTTTCAGAATTTCTGTGTTCACTTTAGTATTTAGTATTATTTCATTTCAATCAATTTTTTTCTAGACATATTTTAGGTTAGTTAGATATGTCATTATTGTTAAGGGAAATGATGCCTCTCATGTTAGAATTTTTAAAACCATATCCATCAGTGAAACTTTTTTTAAAAATTAAATCTAGTTCCTTTATTCCTGAGTTCAAATACGTTATAAGGGGAAGGGAACAGCAGTTTATTGATTATTAGCTTTCTCTTCTAAACTATAGGCATGAACACCACCACATATCTGTTCTCTCAAAAACCAACAAAAGTACTGATTTTAAAACTTTTTAGTTGATAATTTGAATTTGTTCAAGATAGAAAAAGCTTTTTTTTTTTAAACCTAAATACCATTTGTTGTTGAGCATCTTGTTTGAAGAGACAATTTGCATAAGTGGAGCATGTAAAGATGACAATGAGGTTGTACTTTGCCATGAAAATAAATGTCTTTGAAATTTAATACATATCTGAGTTCTCTTTTATTTCTCAGAAATATTGATTGTTTGAGTAAAAGAGTTTATGGAAGAGTTTTGATAGAAAATATTTGGTCTGGATTATGATTGTTAAAGTATATAATAAGTAAAAATGCAAAAAAATTGAAAAAGTATTCATAAATGTAGCTCTTTAAGTGAGCTCTAAAATAAAATTTTTAGCGATATGACATCACTAGATGCCAGTCCACTAGACTTGCAGATTGGAAAAATTCTCTAGAATACTGTTTTTCCAAACCAAATTCTATTGAGCAATGGTAAAATATTTTTATATCAGATTGATAGGAACTGAGAACCAGGGAGAATTGTGGTGGAAGGGAGGGGACTCCTAGGTTTTAAGAAGAAAGGACTTTTGGAAGTAAAAGTTGACCTAGGAGGTAGCTGGAAAACTCTGTTCTAGAACTAATTTGATCTCTCCAACTGGAAAAGGACCGTATCGAAAGCATGCATAGCTCTAAAATTCTTGGGAAAACGTGATGTTACTCTGTGTATTTGTTACCCGTTGCAGTGTTTAATAAAATTCAGCATTTCCTTTATAGCAAAGTCTTTGGGCCTTCCAAATTATTTTGATATAATGAAATTTGTTTATAATAAATACATTGCCAGAATTCCAGCACCTAGTGGCATATAATAGACAACTTAAATCCTTGTTGATTGATTAAAAAATCACATATCTTGGTTTCACAACAGAATCCTGCTGACTCCCAGCCTCTGTAGAGCAAATTAGCAAGGGAAAAGAAATGCTATCATAGACACACTTTCCCTATCACTCCTCTGCTCTGCCAAGTACTTGTGTTGTTATGATTTTATACGATCTCTTCTATAGTGCACAATGAAGTTAACTTTCATAGTTTTTTTAGTAGTTTCATAGTTTCTTTGTGTAGTTCTTGGGCCCAAGGAGTCCTTTGACCCCTTTCAATATCTCTGCCACCATGACTGACAAAGCAAAAGGACCAGAGGGCTGAAGGCCACTTTATATATTCATTTATTTCTTAAGTTATTTGTGAGTGATTTGACAATATATGTGGAGTTTTGATTTGAGCAGACAATAATGGTTAGGATCTTTGAAAAGAGGTGAATTGAAGGGTAATTTCTTAATGTTAAGTGATATTGTATCTTGATAACTATTTCATTTGTCTCAGGGACAGTTTTGTTATTGTTGTTTTAAACCTGAACTATTTCAGATTGTTTCTTTGCTTCTTTGCGAACCTTAAAGTACTATATAAATACATTATGTAAAATTTTAAGTTCCTAACCTGTATCTCCAAACTCTGTTCCTCACCACCCACACATTCTGTAACCTCTTATAAACTTCTTGTCTCAAACGTTCTGTTGAAGCTGTTCTTTGGAAAGCAACCATATTATTGACGAATCTGCACCGTGCCCCTCCACACTCCCAGTTTTTATCCCCTTGGACCTTTGCATCATTTGATACTTTACCACCCCTATCTTGATATTTTCTTTTGCGCCTTCCATGATGCTTACACAATCCTGGTTTTTCTTCTATATCCTGAATTATTCTTCCTTCATTGGAAGTTTCCCTTCCCCCTGCCTACCCACTCACTCAATGTTTCCCAAGGTTTTCCCCTTGATCTTTTGCTTTTTTTTTTCATTTAGTTTCAGTTGTCACTTCTATAATTTGACATCAATGTTGTGTGTATCTTTGGTACTAACCCCTCTCCCAAACACCAGTCTTGCTTGTCAAACTGTCTTCTAAACAGCATCATCACTTTAACATTCAACTCAACATGTCTAAAATTGATCATTTCTCTCCAAGCTATCTTTCCACCCTAATTTCCTCTTTTGATTAATATCACCTTTCTTTCAGTTACTCAATTTTGAAACCTTGAACACTTCTTCATTCTTGCCTTCATTGCTTTTTTCTTTTCACAACATCAAAAGCATTCAATTAAGATATTAAAGAAGTGAAAATAAAAAGGGAGATAATTGAGCAAAAGAGTCATTCTCTATTCCCTATATATGGACAGATGCAAACACTTGCAAGGCTCATAGGAGAAGGAGTAGTATATATCTAGGTTTTCTCATTTCTCTATTGATTCTCCCAGTATATTCAGAAAGACACACATTTACCTCAGAAATCAAAATGTCCGTAGTGTAAGTTTATAAGGTTCAGTGCATTCTCTTTGTAAAGTTCTCTTTTTTTTTTTGGTTGAGGCAATCAGGGTTAAGTGATTTGCCCAAGCTCACACAGCTAGTACGTGTTAAGTGTTTGGTCTGAGGCCAGATTTGAACCCAGGTCCTCCTGACTTCAAGGCTGGTGCTCTATCCACTGCACCATCTAGCTGCCCCTCCTTGTGAAGTTCTAATGGAGCTTATTGAGGACAGGCTATACTGTCTTGACTTCCAGGCTCTACCAATCACCAGTCATGCAGATTCATTCTTTGTAACATCTCACATCTATCCCTCTTTTTCCACTCTGACTGCAAGCACTCTAGTTCAAATATCATTTGCTGGATTCCTACATTTGTCTCATAGCTAACACCTCAGCCCTCAGTCTCTAAATCTTTTGAAAATACTTCTTTGATCATATTAGTCCTTTGTTTAAAACAAAACAAAACTTTAATTCTCCCCTCTCTCCTTCCCTGCCACAGAAAATACAAATTCCTTAGTCATGCACTTAAGGGCTATCACAATACAATTCCAGGTAGAATAATTCATTCAACATACCTTTATTGAGCACCTACTACTTTCGTTAAAAGTTGTATATGTCATACCAAGGTGAATGTCATATTCCTTACTTTCACTGAACTTAAAGTATAGGAGTTAAGATAATTACATAAATAATAATAAGGAAAGGTCCAACGTTAAGACAGACAGAGAGAAAGAGAGAGAGATGCAAAGTACTATGCAAGATACCTGGGAGAGAGATCACTCCCAAATAGGATGATGATGACAGTTATCACTGAAATCAAAGGATCACAGATTTAGAACTGTAAGGGGCTTTAGGAGTAGCTAGGTGGTGCAGTGGATAGAGTGCACGGCTTGGAGTCAGGAAGGCCTGAGTTCAAATGTGGCCTCAGACTTAGTAGCTTCATGACCCTGGGTAAGTCACTTAACCTTGCTTGCCTCAGTTTCCTCATCTGTAAAATGATCTGGTGAAGAAAATGGCAAACCACTCCAGTATCTTTGCCAGGAAAATCCCAAAAGGGGTCACAAAAAGTCAGACACAACTGAAACAACAACAACAAGGGACTCTAGTCCAAGCCCAAGTTCACTGCCCTTTCCACTGCAACAGGCTTCTTCACTATGTTAGTTAGAGCTGGGTCTAGAAAGGCAAAGCTATGAAGGGTCTAGCACAAAGGCTGGAAAAGACCATATTTAGGAAGTGGCATTACTGGAATAGATGTATTCAGGGGTGAAAACAGTGGGAAGAAAAAAAAATAGGACTTGGAAGAGAACTGGGGAAAGTCACCACCTTTGTTGACTTTGCTTTTTAATCAATTCTGCTAACCTTTCCATTTTATGGGTAAGCTCATCCTACATGTGCTTAATTGTGTTTTTTCCTTTTATTCCATTCTTATACTTTTTCTTCTCTGCATTGCTCACTCCCTCATTATTACAGGTTCTTACACTTTTTTTAAACTTTCTCCTTTCCACTCTCTCTTTAACTTTATGATATGTTTTGTGTATGACTAATCTGTCCCCGACTCTACTCTTACTCTGATATTTCCCTTTCTCCTCTTCTTGTTTTTATCTCTATCTCTGTGGAGTTGAATGTATTCTAACACTAAACTCTTTATGAGTGTATATCCATCAATCAATCCACATTTATTAAATGCCTACTATGTGCCAGGCAATGTGCTAAATATTGGCAATACAAAAATAGGCAAAAAACAGCCCCTACCCTCAAGGAGCTTACAATCTAATTGGGGAATAAAACACACAAATATATACAAGAGAGCTACACTCAGGATAAATAGGAAATAACTACCAGAGTGAAGGCACTGGATTTAAGAAGGGCTGGGGAAAGCTTCCTGTAGAAGGTGGGATTTTAGTTGGGACTTAAAGGAATCCAGGGAAGTCAGCAGCTACAGTGAGGAAGGGAGAACATTCCAGGTGCCGGGATCAGCCAGAGAAAACGTCTGTAGCCAAGAGATTAATTGTCTTGTTTATGGAGCAGCAAGGAGGCCAGCATCACTGGATCAAAGAGTGCTAAGGAGTAAGATGTAAAAAGACTGTAAAGGTAGGAGGGGTCTAGGTTATGAAGGGCTTTGAATGCCAAACAGAGCATTTTGTATTTGCTCCTGGAGGCAATAGGAAGCCACTGGAATTTACTGAGTAGTGGGGTGACATGATTGGATCTAAGTTTTAGGAAAATCACTTGAGTGGCATGTGTGTGTTTTATCTTCCTCGGATCAGTTTAGATGAAAGTGAAGTTTAAGTTATGATTGTTCCTCATATTCCTTCCATATTTGAATAGATAGATAGAAAAATTAGATATGATAGATCTCTAATAATTGTTGAATGGGAATAGAAAGAATACACGTTTTTCAGCTGTGCATGCCACCTTTACAAAAACTGATCATGTCTCAGAGTATAAAAACCTCAATAATGCAGAAAAACAGAAAAATTATACACATCATTTACAGATCACAGTAAAATAAAATTGTATTAAAATAGGGCATTGAAAAAGCATTAAAAATAATCAGGAGACTAAATAACTTAGTTCTAAACATGGAGATTCAAGACAGAAATGTGACACTACAGATCAGTGGCCTTAATGCACTTGATGCCAGATTTTAAAATAATATATTAGCAAAGAGGCTAAAAAAAGAATCATCTTTAACTAGGTTGATCAGTGGAACAGTCAATAGCCAAAAGCAAATGAATCAAGTAATTTTGTGTTTGATAAACACAAAGAATTCTACTACTGGGATTAGGACTCATTACTTGATAAAAATTCCCAGGAAATTTGGACTGTAGTATAGAAGAAATTAGATTCAAATTAACAC